CTGTCCAGCTCACCTTCTGTTTCTCCTTCACCTCAGCTACAATCTCTTTTTGTCCAATCTTAGCACTGAAATGACAGACAGCAGCATCTCCAGGCAGAGGGAAGACAAATATTGCCTCTATTGGTTTGTCCTCCTTGTTCTCATAGTTCAGAGTGGAGACCACTGTAGCCACATGGTCCCTCACCTCCACCTCCACCTCAATGCTCTTTAGAGGAACTGACATAGAAACAGGAAACACTTTTAGCCACATACTAGAGCTGAACCTGTAAGCCAAGGAGATAGTTAGAGATGCCTCCGTCTCACAGTGTGTAAAGCAGGATGCAATTATGTGCCTAATAGTCTTTACAGCTATCATAAGCTTCTGCAGTTGAAGTTTACATGAGCACAAAAAACAGTTATGGAGGAACAACTCTGTACCTGCTTCCTTCCTGGATGTTATCAGACCACAGTAGTTCATCATTGTACCTGCACAACAATCAACAAGGGCATCTGAGGACTTCCTGCTGTAGTGATGAATCGTAATGACAATTACTCTACATTTTGAATGTTCTTCAACATTTAAAATACCTTTTTGTAACGAATAAATATATTAATTGTCGTCTATTATAGATACTTTCACATGAATGTCACCATAAATCCATGGTTATAACCATGCTAAAACCACAGGACTGAATGAGACTGAAAAACTATAAAAAGTATGAAAATCCCAACACAGTTTATAAATTTACTGCACAAAACACCAAAATAACATCTAAATACATAAAAATAATCATCATCATATCATTATTATTATTTTTAATATATTATCATTGTATAATTCAGATGAGTAACTTATTTCCAGTTAATCTAGCCTATTACATTCCACATATTTCCTGTAATCATCATCTGTATCAATCTGTACACACTCTAATTAATAAATTGAATTTCATCTGCATCTCTGCTCCGCCCTTCCTGGTTCAATCTCCGTCATCATGTTTTCAACTGATTTGTTATTATAAGTAGAATTAGACAGCCATTGGCGTCATGGCTACTAAGTGGAGAAAAAAATAGAAATAAACATATCTAATTTCGATGAGAAATTTAAAGTAGAAACAAGCTAATGAGCTGTTAAAGGTAACTAACCTTTTTCTTTGTCATATTTTTGTGGCATCACAATATTCCATCAAAGCTCATATGCAAATTCAAACCCACTGTGACAACAGTATCAGTCAGTAACAAGTTTTCTGTTAAGTATATTGCATTGTAGCTCATAGCAGTGGTTTGTTTCTGCTAACCACAGTATTTAAATGAACACACAGCAGATGTACACCTACCTCAATATGGACAGATGTATATGCGTCCGGTTAACTGCAGATCGCTCTTGTAAATATGTGGAGGGAACTCGTAGATTTATAAAGCAGAGAGATATAAACAGACAGATGCAACAGTACAAGTCACGCCTACCGGGTATGCTCGATTTAAACAAAAGAGCGCACCGGGTGGGTGGAGCTTGATCTTGATGTTGGATTCCTGTTTATTCCAAAATGATCACAAGCAGTCTGCACAAAGTTTCCATACATGTGTTCTGCAGCCTGCACAAAAATGCAAGACACTTCTTTCTCTTTGCAAACAAGCACACCAACACACTCACAAACACACACCTGCAATATCAGCAAAGTATAATACCTCATATGTGTTGGACTATGTTGCAAGACATGAAAACTGTGCAGCCTGAGGGCAAGATGTCATTAAAGTGTTCATTTTGAGGAACATTCTCACAGGCCGATTTAGGATTACCTAGCTCTAAATATTACAAGAAGTTTAATAACTGTAAATCAATAATTTGATCACCACCTCATGGTTGTATGCCTCCCTGAGTCAGTCAAGTTGCAGTTGCAGTTTACATTCATGTCTGTCCAGACTCATCAGTAGCCATGATGACAGAAGACAATGCTTCAAATATGGATGTTGCTGCAAAGAAGCTGTATATTCTAGAATGTGGATGCTTCACAAACATCTTCCCCCCGGCAACACAGAAGATCTATACGATCACCACAGTTTAAAGATGGACACTGAAGATTAGTGTCACCAATTCAGTACCTGACCAAATGTCTCCTCTTCTGTTACTGAGTTATGATGCTGAATAATGGGCGGAAAGGTGTTGTGCAGAGCACTATGATGTCACAGTGAAGTTGACCTTTGGGATATAAGTATATCATCACTACATCAATTTGTCCAATTAGACATTTGTGTGAAATTCTGTCATTATCATGTTTTTTGAGGTCATAGTGACCTTTGACCGCCAAAGACTCTTATCAGTTCATCTTAGAGTCTAAGTGGATGTAGAGGTGTTCTTGAGATAATGTGTTCATGAGACTGGGACAGTCAGACAATTGAATAATTGGTATCATGTGGCCAGACATGTATGCTGACAGCTCGAGATGTGATGTGTAATTCAGTGTTGGTTTACAGTGTATGTGAACCTGGTGTCACACACTTTTCAATGCACAAAGAACGGAGCAACGGAGCAATTTACATTCAAGTTTAAATTTACTTTATTTACTTTTACAATGATAAACCAAATTTGTTCTGATTAAAAAGACCAATAAACATATCAACGAGGAGAAACGCCAAATGAAAACAGAAAAGAATGGGATTTAACTGTTACTAGGCAGATGGTATGGTGCAGTGTTGATGAAGTGAATCTGCTTCAGGGTACCAATCCTAAAGAGAAACTCCTTCAATGAAACTTCAGAGTCCCAGGGCATCTTTCTTCACCTTGAAACCCAACAGAGTATTTCCAGCTTCCATACACTCTGTCACACTTGGTTCTGGAAAAACAAACACACAAAACAAGTTAACAGCAGAGTGAATGTGAGCAAACAGCTGATTTTAACCAGCACACACTGTTAAAAACAAACGATTATTCTGGTTATTACCATTCTGAGCACGGAGCCATGACACAGCCTTCATGGCCAGAAGCTCCCACTCATCCTGAGCATCCATCTTGGAGCCATGAAGCCAGATCAGAGCCAGAATGGTGGCCCACACTTCCTGGTTCACCTAATTCACCAAATCAAAGACAAAACAGATGCGTACTTCAACATGATCACAGATATGGACAAAGCCTTTAATAAACAGGTGGAAGTCATACCCAGTTTCTCAGTCCAGTCATATTTCATTGGATATTTAATCTAATTACTGAACAGCCCTGAAATCATCACCATCACTCTCATATCTCCAGATCATAAAGAACATAGCTGCTATGATTTTTATTGGTGTTTTTGCAGTTTGACCACCACCATGCTGTGGTCTGTATCTTAGCTTTCCTTTTATAATTATACATACTGTATAACCTTGTTTTTCGGGGTCTCTCTAAGTTGAATTATTTCCATTAAATATTTAACTTTCATTTGTCTTTTTTTTCTCAAATAAGTGCCATCATTATACAGCATGGCATGAAATCTGCTCCAATTATCAATATGTGTTATTATTTTTGGAAGTGACTCACTCCTGAAGGTTTTGTGTTCTCCACCTCCTTGCTGGTCTTTCCCAGTGCAGCAGCCAGAGCTGGATCCTGCTCCCAGCAGCCAGACGCCTTCTGGAGGGAGACCAGTTGCAGGAAAGGGTCTCTGGGTGGCTGTGCGGGCCTGATGACTGTAATCCCTCGAGCACCACAAGGAGCTGAGGAAAACAATCAAGGTGCAAAGATAAAATGATCCAATTCATTAATTCTGCTGCTGCTCATTTTAAGTTTGCATGTTTTCTTTATTTGTCCAAATCATGCCTTTGTTTTCATATGGTGTTGTGTCGGTATGCTGGGTGCCCTAATGCTTGAGTGCTCTGACTCTCTCTCTGATGTGCTGTATGTTGGAGCTAGATCAAATAAAGGATTCATAACTGAGGCCTAATTTTTATACAAATAACATTCATAGTGGTTTACATAAATGGTTTTATTGTATTTCCCTCTTTGTTGGGCAACAGTCTTGTGTGAAAGGAATTAAAGGCTTGTCCCATTTTGACGCCTGTCCCAGATATAGGCCTGTTGATTTCAGTGATTTTAGCAAATAATAGCCCGGGCTATTGATTGAAGTTTTACGGTACCTTCATCACCACACGCCCCTGTCCAATCATCATCTTCATAGTCATTTTCTTCTTCTAGTTCCAAACTCTTTTGATTTGCTGTCTCAGAAGAAATGCACTCTTGCAAGAGCAAAATCATGCCAAAATATTTAATAATTCTGATAAACAACAATCAGTTTCCTAATTCCTTATTACCACAAACAAAACAGATACCTCTGAGTCTCTTGCCATCCTCCATCTTCATTTTCATTTTCATATTCTAGTCCCATACCAGTATACATGTGTAACACATACATGTGTACTGCTGACACAAAACAGATAGGCCTACCTTCATATGCCTCTTCACATGCACCCAAATCTCCACAGCAAATATAATCTGTAGTTTCAGCAGAAATGCACTGTTACAAAAGAAATTAATCCATTTCCTTATTTCACATTAAATTTTGCAGCACACTGAACTGAAGCTGAATCTTGTTGCCATGAGTGACTCTGTGTCTGACTCTGGTTTGCTTCACTTGTACACTGCTATGACCCTGAATAGATTCATCAGGTTCACACCCTCAGTCTGAAGTGGAAGTAACTGTGCATATGTGAGCAGTTGTCATTTGAATGAATGGGCTGCCATGTCGACATACATTCACTATCCATTGTTCACTATAGCTCCATGGATAATGGGTTTTAGGAAAAGCACAAGCACTGGTCTGTATAGAAAAAAACTAATCAATACATGTTGTCAAGTCTATAAAACGTGTGTATTACTGACACAAAACAGACCTACCGTCATATGCCTCTTCACATTCACCATAGCTAAATCCATCAATATTTTCACAGTCATCAGCTGTTGTATCAGGAGAAATGTATATACTGTTATAATAGCAAAATCGTACCAAATTATTTAAGAGTGCTATTCAAAGTTAATCAGTGTCTTTATTTCACATTAAATTTTGCAGTGCACCTGTACACTGCTACGACCCTGACTAGATTCAACAGTGTCACACCCTTGGTCTCAGCGGTAATACAGTTATAACTTACCAATTTACTGTACACCACTACAGATATTAATTACATCTAATGGAGCTCAGGACACAACCTGAACACACCTGCTGAACCCCAAATTATTTCATAATGACCTCATTTGTTTTTCTATTCAGTGAATGTGGAAATATACCAGTGTGTGTTTCAAAAGCAAATGAATCATTTACTTACCAGAATTGTAATAAGACATGTTGTCATCAAAGAGCGCACATTCTTTTACTGGAATAAAAAGAGAGCAGGATAATTAGTGAAGGTCATTAGCTGGGGCAAAAATATCAAACAGACTAAGATATCCAGTTATAAAACACAAAGCCAACAGAGTCACATCAACACATGACAGTCGCATCGCATGTCTGTTTTTTGCGATTGTTGCCAGAAACATTATGATTTATGACAGTAATACATTTCCCGATTAAATGAAGGAGAAGACATGATGTGCTTTAAAACATGAAGATGTTTTGTTTTTCTGCCATACTTGTGCAAAAGTGCCATTTATAAAACTGAGGCTATCATTGTTGCTAGGTAGATTAGGACACATCCCCTGCTGACCAGACCAGGACACTCTGCCTACTCACTGAGTGACACATGTTGTCAGTTTGACTCAATTCTCCTCCTGTCCTTGGTGGATGGTGGCTGTTTAACAGTGTTGCCGTGCATGAATGTCTCACCGACCTCTGGTAACAATAAAAAACTTGCACTAAAATTGGCCAAGTTATATATGCATGACCCACAGCGTTAAGCCTGGGCCACACTGCCTGCATCATGGAAATATATTTATTTATTTTCAGCTCCTGTGTTAATAGGTTAGAGCAGCCACACTCGTGCAGCGTTGAGATTCAAAGTTTCGCCTGTTTTTGTCCATCCAATTGTCTGTCCTACCTTTCACGTATTTATGACAATACTAAAGACCAGACTCCACAAGGCTGTAGATCTGGAACCTGAGATGATTCATCCCATTGTGTTGGACACCCACGATGCAATCACAAAGTTATTCAAAAAGGGATATGACCATAATTTATTCTGCCCTGGGCTGGAATGTGTATTCGCTGAGTTGAGATGCACCTACTGGATCCTAAGAGGCAGAGAGGCCATCGGTACCAGTTCAGTTGCCCTCAGTGTTGCAAGTGGCAAACCACTCTTGAAGTTCCCAAGATGGCAGACTTGCCAGCAGCTATTTCTGACTTGATAAGCCACCATTTTACTCAACTGGAGTAGACTGCTTCTGGCCCTGTACCATCCTGATTTGACGACGCCACAAGAAGCACTGAGGGACAGTGTACAAGTGCATCACCACATCATGCGTGCATTTGGATCTGTTGGAAGACATGGATACTGATCTTTTTCTCCTGTCCCTTGGACATTTCATCTCACGACATGGGAAAGTGCTTAAGCTTCTGTCTGACAGAGGGACAAACTTCGGTTGAGGTGAAAGAGAGCTGCATGAGGCAGTGAATGACTCTCTATAGGCAGCTTGCAGAGCAGGAGACCACCTTCCGTTTCAACCCACCTAACTCAATGCACTTCAGAGAAGTGTGACAAAGAGCAGTAACACTGTGAAAGTTGCTGTCAGTAGTTTTGGGAGACCAAATGGCAACAGAAACTGTTCTATGCACTGGGATATGTGTCACCTGACCTGGTAAATCTGGCACCAATTACAAAAAATATCCTACAGGTGGGCAGTTCTGACACATCAATTCTGCGGGCCATATATGCTGCTGGGGATGCAACTGGAAATTGTAGATGGAGGCGGAGACAAATACTTGTGGATAATTTCAAGGTCACCTTGGTCAGGACTTACTTACTTGACCTGCAAGGGCAAAATAAGTGGAAGGGGGATGAGGAAGACTTAGCAGTTGGTCAAGTGGTTCTTAATATTCCCCAGCATCCTCGAGCACCCTGGCCTGGAGGAGGAGTATCAAGATCTTTCCTGTAGATGATGGACGCGTCTGATCAGCAGCCAGCAGCGGTTCATTTCTCCTCCATAACTTGGTGGATGGTGGCTTTTCAACAGTGTTGCAGTGCATGAATGCCTACCCCACCTCTGGTTACACTACTCATTCCTCTATCAGTAAAAGACGATTGCAGCATCAGACACCTCGGCCTGAGTTATTTTCACACAACATAGGTGCTCTAGGTGCCTACCATACTCTCTCACTGGAGCAATATTTAAAGGTTTACAGCAGGTAGCCTTCCCTATAACACAAGTGGTCCTTTGAGACATATTGAGTACTGAAGATAATGGAGCCGTAAGTACAGATGTTGGAGCTGATCCACAAATGGTGTGCCAAAGACCTCCCAGGGAAATTAGACCTCCAAGTATCCAGGAGGTAACCTTCCCTCCATCACAATAATAGATATGTCAGTCAGACAAAAGATATACCGTGCTGACCTGGGAAAAAGCCATAGTCTTAAACATGCAGCATGCACACTGTGGTTGAAGTGTACAGGTTCCTTGTAACTTTTTTAGTTCTTGGAAGAAAACACTCACATCCTGTTGGAACATTTCTGCGCACCAGAGGTCCTTGAATCGCTTTGCCAGTGCCTTTATTGACAGCAATGAAGGCAGTGAAGACACTGCTCACTCCTGATTGGACACTATGCTCCACCACTTTCTTCTTCACTCCTTCATTTTGCTGTCTTGTACGCCTTGTCTCCCCCATCTCCAGGGAGCGAATCAGAGTCCGAGCAGCCAACCTGTGGACTGTTAATCTGTAGGCAGGAGAGAGGAGTAAACACACTGGAATTTTCCTTTCATTAGTATGAATGCAAAATAGTGATCTTTGTTTATCCAATCCTGTTTAAGGTCTACAAGCACATTAAACAACTTTTCAATATGTGGGAAATAATGGTAAATTTAAGATAGTTACTGCGACAACAAGACCATGAGCACTACACAGCTGTGCTTTTAGCTAAATGCTAATGTCAGCATGCTAACATGCTCACAA